GAGCGAGCGACGTTATTCGCGATCGATCTTCGCGAGGAGTCGCGCGACGTAATTTATCGCAGACAATTCGTTTGCTCGGTGATTTTCCGGCGTGCCTAGCGTCGCGCCGCGCCGTGGTGGCTCCTCTCGCGGTGCCGGCGCGAATGCAAAAACGGATCCTCGTTCCCGACCCGGCGTTATTATCCGCGAGAGCGGCTTTCTCGGCGGGCTTGATTAACACGTCAAGGCGTTATGGATGCCGCCGTCGCGCTCTCGCTCTTTTTCGCCTCGCCAGGTGTCATATAAACGCCGCGCGTCCGCGACACGTCCATACGGATTTGCGGAATTTCTAACGGCCGCCGCCGCCGCCGCCGTGTTTACTCCTTAACGGCCACAAAGTATAGTAATAACGCGCGCGAGAGGCGCGCAAGGTGGGATATACCAGTTGCGCGATACCCCCGCGGCGTACACCGCCGGCATACGAACGCTCGCGTATTATACGCGTTGCATCGGAAATTACGCGCGGCGCATACATTAAAGCCGACGCGCTGACGCGTTTCCGCGGATGATTTCGCGGAAACCCGCTGACTGACCGACCGACCGACCGACAACCGGGCGGACAGATAGACAGACAGACAGACCGCGAGCGACCGCGAAGCGCTCGGAAATTTCGCGCAACCCTTCGTCAAGTACCGCGCAGTCTAAAATGGTCTAAAATCGTAAAAACCTGGCAAAAAACCAATTTTTCTAACTCGTTAAAATATCAGTAAGAATTATTGCAATTCCGAAAAGGATATGCAAGGAACAATTTTTTGTAATTTAAAGTTGCTTGTACATTGCCTTGAATAGATAATACAAGTGGATAAAAATGAAGAATTTTTAGTATGTTTGACAGGCCGCCTTTCCTGCACTGTATTTACATCAGCCTTTAAATTAGTTAGATTACTGAAATGTTTTAGTACAATATATTATTATTTCACACGCATACTTTAAGTATTATTCGCAAAATTGACAAATGTACTTAGCACAGCATATATGTATATTCGATGTGATTTTTAACCTCATATAACGCTTATAGAGAATCGATACCGCAACTTTATTGTATGATTTATAAGCTTCAGCCGTCCTTAGCCAAGAAAGTTTTATGGTCAAATTGACCAGAAAATTAAGTTACAGTTGTTAGCTATGTAATTGTAACTTTCTGTATGTAATTACAAGAAAACAATAACTTTTTTCATATTTTCCTTGTTTTTATTAGATTTTTCAAGTTGTAGTAAGAAAATTATTAATGTTATAGTAAACTTAGATAACGCGCGTGTGTATGATATTAAGATAATATTTAAAAAACAAATTTATTTATGTTTCACTGAGCAGATAGTCTATCCCATTTCATCGTTATATGTTATTGTTTCTAAAAAAATATTGGTGATCTTTAAATTTCGGGAAATATGAGCTAAAGATAGAAATACTGGCAATAATATTAGTCTTCATATGACATTTAATTATAAAAAATAATCCAAATCGCTATCTTCAATAATTGCAGAATAATTAACTCGTACCGTTTTAAAAACCCCATACTGTACTTAACTCGTTATTATATCATATGCATATATTATTACTAACGATATTAATTTTTGTTACAAAATCGGACGTTTAGACCACAGTGTGCCGAGTAAAAGGATCGGTTAACGATGCAGGAAGATGTGTCGAGTAGCTATCAGTTGATATCCTGAAACACGAGTACCAGCTCGACGTATCTTCCCACGTAACTTTCGATACACGGTCGACACGTCGAAAGCCGCACCGACGGGTGTGTCACACCGGTGACAACCGGCGCCGTGATAGCATCTCATTAGGCTACGCATAATGTATAATTAATCGCATCTAAAAATTGAATTTTACGGCCAATAAAGAGCCGACGGAACGAGGTAAGAAACGCGCGTACAGAAGCGATCACATTTATACGCCGCGTCGTTGCTCACTCGATTGCCAGTCGAGTCCTCGTGCGATCGATGTTAAATCAACGATATGACGGTCAACGTGTTAATCGCTCGCGTCGCGTCGGGCACGTATCATCGTCGACGGGTACGGCGTCGCGCTCGGCGATAGAAAGTGAACACCGGCGTCTCCTCGCGGAGACGGGTTAGGTCGGGAATCATTAGGCGGTGGGCCATTAGGTCAGCGCTGACGACACGAAAATCTATCCGCGGTACTAGACACTCGTCGTTAGATACGGCACACTTGGCCGCGGGGAGTGTCGTCGTATCAGCTGGCGCCCCGAGCGGAATCCCCGAGCGGAATCGCCGAGCGGTCCGCGCGCGCGTTACAAGCGTCTCGTGTTGCGCTGCGCTAACAACGAAACATGTCTGGGCGTCGAGGTGTACGCGTTACAGCCTGATTAAAATAATGCGCTCGCTCTCTCACTCTCTCTCTCTCTCTCTCTCGTTCTACCCCTCTCCCTCCCCTCCTCCTGCCGCCCCGCGCCAGCCGTGAGGCCTCTTTCTCTTCTTTGCGCGCCGCGTGTACTTCTTTTACTTTTACTAAGTGGCCATATGGGGACATTCGACATAATGGGGTGGGAGCGGCTCGAGCGAAAAAGCTCGGCTTACAATCGCCTCGACGAGATCTAAAAGAGCCGCAGGGGAGCCAGAACTGGTACGAGAAGGTCCATTATCAGGTTGCAAAACATACATCTGGCCGGTGAGGGCACGTGCCCGGGGCCTTCGGACCAAGGGCACGCCCCCTAAGACCCTCCCCCCCCATTGCCGCCGCCGCCGCCGCCGCCGCCGCCGCCGCTCGGCCGGCCGTGGCCGCGCTCTGGCCCTTCTAACCCCACGACGACTTGGAGCCTTCGCGCCCTCGTGCACTCGATCTATACGATCGTTCGCACTCGAGAACGAGGTGTTAATGCGCCTCGCCGTGAACACCGCGGGTGTCTAGGCTGCACGGTCTCGAGAGTGATGACGGGACAATATGACTGTATGTTTAGCGAGCGTGTAATCATTTTTGTTGCGCGTACAATCGACTGCGCACATCGCGACAATCGCTGTATATTCGCGTGCGTTACGCGTTCGGGATGCCGATTTTAAATCGATTTAATCGAAGATCGATTAATCGCGGAGCCTAAAAGATCGATTTGAAATCGATTTTCTGGAACTGAATCGATTCAAGAATTGACCTGTAAATTCTGAAAATCGCCAACACGATTTTTCCAGTTTCTACTAGTAATATAATTATTTTTTTAATTCTTTTTAGTTGTAATATTTGAACTCACTTAATGGTGCTGCACGATGCACATTAGGCCGATGTCCCATGGGCGAAAATTTTCAGCGGAACGGAACGCGTGAACCAATCACAGCTACTCCATATAATAGTATACATTATATACACATGTATATGCATATAGCAGTAAACGTGATTTCTTATTTAATAACGTTTAATAACCCTTGATTGATGTTTAATCAAACTAATTAAATCCTCAGCATAAAGATTTAAAGATCTTTTTCCATCTTGTTGTGGCCACACATAACACAACCAAAAGAGTACCGTCTATTTAATTTCTCTAATTCATATTAAACTTTACATGAATTACACGAGGTCTGCTTTAGAGTGTAGAAATTTGACGGATAGTATACTTTAATGAGTGGTTCACTTCACTACCGATACAAATGCATACCGATTCAAATCGATTTTCTGAAATCTTTACAGACTGAAATCTTTACAGACTGATTTTTTAAAGATCGATTTTTTTCTTCGTGATTCGAATCGATCTTTAAATCGACCGTTTGAAAAAAAAAAAATCGGCTTCCTTACGTTACATGTCTCAGGGACTCGTTGAGTAAGTTCGCGGTGGGTCCGTGTCCGCGCCACGCGCGTTCGGAATAATTTATGATACTTTTTCTTCGTTGTTTTATTGATAATTGATCGCGCTTGTAATCGACGTCTGTGCTCGCTCGCGGCATAATTTCCGCATAATTCACGCCGCGCAACGCTCGCGCCATTTTCGTCCGCGCGATGATATATTCGCTTTGGGCCCGTATAAGCAAATTCAACAAGCAAATTTATAAAAGTTGCGTTTAATCGTATGCTGATGGCTGTATTTAATCGAGATAAATGAGGAGCGAGGGAACTCTACGAGAAATATCATCCACTCAGAGCAACACGCTCTTCGGCCAGATAAGCGGCCAATGATGTCGCTTTTTAAATTGGCTCTACGCCCGTCGATTCCGCGGCTTATCTTCAAGGTATCGTCCGAAGGCTCGGCGATTATCGCGATGACGCATTGCGATGACGAGATGACGGCCTCATTACTTAATCTACCGAGTGTCGCGAGACGTATCGGGCTCGTGTTGGCTCAAACAAATTGACAGATTTGTCACTCGCGATCTTAACGACCGCCCTTCTCTTTCTCTCTCTCTCTCTCTCTCTCTCTCTCTCTCTCTCTCTGTCTCTTTTCCCCGTTCCCTTTCCCATTCGTCTTCCCTGCCGAAACTCGTCTTCAGTAAATCTCTACCGAGGATACCGGTTATCGAGAATGAGACCACGTGACAATGCTCGATTTCTCGGTCGTAGAACAGATACTCTTCAGTTCCGTTATCCTCTAATTTTAACAAAGCCGGCAAAAGCCTATTTTCCCTCCGCTCATCTCTAGTCAGAAATTGAAACTCTTCGACCGCGCAGTTTTCAAGAGAGTCTACTTTTTCATAATATAGCAAGTTCCATTTCGATAAGAGCCGGCAGAGGCCTATTTTCCTTCCGTTTATCTCTAGTCAGAAATTGAAACTCTTCGACTGCGCAGTTTTCAAGAGAGTCTACTTTTTTATAATATAGCCCTAGCAGCAGGTTCCATTTCGACAAGAGCCAATCTTATTCTTCGCACAGAGAACATTCGGACAGGATTCGATTGTCAAAGTTAATTCGATATTCGTCAGCCCGAAATGATACATAAATAATTGTGGAGACAATCGTTATCATGGTACGCCGATCGTCCACTCATGAATTCGGCCGAGTAGTGCACTTACCCCTGTCGACGATCTTGCCGAAGAGATTTTTCCCCCTGAGGAAATTCGTCGTCGAGCAATTCCACCGTCGATTGCGAAACTGATGTTGACACTCGGCGATGGCTTGATTCGCGCCCTTGGCCACCGCTATCAGTACCCCCGGATTTTCACGAGCCAATCGCCTCTGTTTTCTCCTGAGAGTTCCATAAAACGACGATTCTATTGGCAGGGCAGCCGATGACATTGGCAGAAAATTGTTGGGCTCGCCGGCTTTAGCTATACCCCTGAAAGCGAGACACGTTGTCGTATTGCATTATGCCCCGGCGATAAAACTTGCGCTAACGGGATTAACGGTGCACATCTAAAAGGATTAAACGTCCCTACAATAGCTAACGTTCGATAATAGAACAGACACCTGCGGAGGCGGGAGGAACACATTGGATAAACAGAGGAATCATTTGCGAAGGTTTACATATGTATCTTTTGAGAGAATCCTCCGGGATAGGAAATGATCCTGTAAGAATGGATTAAGAAAGAGAGAGAGAGAGAGAGAGAGAGAGAGAGAGAGAGAGAGAGACAGAGAAAGAGAAAAAGAGAAAGAGAAAGTCCTTCGTGAAAATCAAGAAGCTATCTCGAACAGTCGTTTCGTTTACAATCAAGTCAGTATTCCACTTGGAACGACTCCGGAGGTCGACTGCGATTCCGAATTCGACGACGACGACGACGACGACGACGACGACGACGACGACGACGACGACGACGACGACGACAAGATGGAATCTCGTTCGCGTTGGATAAAGAAGCAAAATAGGATCGGCCGGCGTTTAAGAGGATAGTCTTCGACGAGTCGTTCCCCGGCGCGCCAGACGTCGGCGCGTTATAAGGACGTGTTTTCAAACAGGGATCGTGTTAATGAAGAGCCTCCGAGTAAAATTACTCCAGCCGCGAGCGGAGCTCCCCCGGAGCTCTCGCTCGCCGTCCGAGGGAGGGTAATCCCGATCGTATATCCTCGACACGGGCGTTAAAGCGCACATAGTATGCGCGCTTTCGTGAAATTATCAATTTATATGCAGCCAGCCACGTTCGCGTTCGGTCCGGCGGTTAAGCTAGAGCCCCGCTCGGCCGTGGCCGAGCTTTAATGCAACGCGATCGACAGTAAATTCCCTTAATGAGCTCCTCTGTGTGGATGCGTCGGTTTTGGCACGGCGTGCACGACGCGGCGCGGCGCGGCGCGTAGTTATCGTGCGTGTCGCGTATTACATGACCGTCGTAACACAACGCGCGCGCGCGCGCGCGATATCGCGCGCGAATAAATTTTAATTACGCGGCAATTCCACCTTAACGATAACGCGCCTCGTCATCCGCTCATCAAGCGGGGCTTTGATTCGTGAGCGGATTCCGTCGCTTCTCCCTACGAGAGCTGCTGGGTCTGCGACTTTTGTCTCGCGTCTCCTCGATTCGCGGATCTGTGCGCTGCAGAGCGAAGACATGTCAGAGCTCGCGGAAATGATGAGAATCGAGATGAAATCGCCGAGTTTTGCAGAACGCGCTCGTGAAGCGGCCTGCGAGTGCCGGAGCGTGCGATTTAAACGGCGGTCGTCACCGCGAAACGCCGATTTCGCGCGCAAAAAAGCGCGCTTTCGAGAGCAAAGGGGAGCGCGAGAGCGAAAGGACGAGGAGCCGACGAAGGTGGATTAGCACGAAAGACGAAACTGGTTCAGCAGTTTCGATCAACGGTAGCTCGTCGTGTGTATACACCGTGTATATAGGGTGTACCAAAGAGTCCACGAGCTCGTTTCGCGGATTCTTTAGCAGCGAATATTTTTCTCGAAATCGAGAGGGATCCGACTGAAGTCGGAATTTGCAATTCCAAGTGTTTTATTGAAATCAACATTCAAGCGCCTTCTTGCGCCCTCCAGAAGTCGTGGGAAATCAAACGAAATTATAAGATTTTGTCATCCGCTTGAAATTGATCATCCAGTTTCAACTACTGCTAATTGGGTAGCTCTGCGAATATTGCTCTCCATCAATCACGCTGAGATTCTGAAATCGCTCGCTCGGGGCCTGCTGTGTCCGCAGTTTGGAGAAAGTAGCCGACTTCCGATACACCCTATGTGTATATAAATCAAGCTGCCGCGCGAGTCCAGCCTGCGAAAGAATTCGCGTCCCGATCGATCGAGCATCGCGCAGAAAAACGTTTAAATGCGCTCACGGTGTGCCCTTCGTGGGAAGAGGGTTGCGCGATCCCCGAAGAAACGCCGGACCGCGCAAAATGCATACTGATCAAGGCTAATAAGAAGTGCGTCCGTAACCCGCTCGAATCTTCGCGACGGAAAAGTAATCGCGCCACAATTTGCGATTCACGCTTCGAAGGACGATTCGAAGCGGCCGCGTCGTCCCGCATTGCTCGACGTTATTTCTCGCGCAACGAAATTTTCACGTCCGACTCTCAAACTCTCCGCCAAACAAAGCACACGACTGCTAAAGTGCAGCGCAATTCGAGCATCGCCGATCGTCTCTCGATCCTTCAACGGCTTCGGACGAACACCGGAGCTGCAAATCTAAGATGTAACGGCATCAGCAACGATTTCGAAACACGATGCGAGCACGTAGCGCCGTAAAACGTCGATACGACACGAGAGAAGAAGAAGAAGGAGAAGGAGAAGGAGAAGGAGAGAGAGAGAGAGAGAGAGAGAGAGAGCCGCGAGCGTCCTCTCACGAGAGAGGAACTCGCCGGAGCCCAAACAGGGTCGTAAATGTCCGCGGCCGATTTGCTCCGCGTGAAAAAGCGTCGAATGCGTTGGATATTTGTTCTTCTTTAACGAGGGACCGAGACTCACTCGCTCGCTCGTGCGACCCTTATTTAAAATAGCTCGCGCGCGCTGGGATCGGATCAGTCGTCAGCCGGCATAATAAACAGGTAATCACTGTCGCCGCGACTCCGTCAACGCTCTGCGGACTCTGCGGGCGGAGATCGAGGAAGGCTCTGACAGAAACCGGGCCGCGTGGCGGCCACAAACGCAAAATCCTTGTCAGCCGACCGCCACCGAGATCTCTCGTTGACACTCTGAGCGGGCTAAACAAACTCGCGAGCAGCGAGCAGCGCGAGGTAGCGGACGCACGTGGCTCGGTGGAAGAAGAAGACGGGATCCTTCCCCGTGGTGGATCTATTCCGTAACTCTTCGCAAGCGTCGTTATCGCGACGTGATAATGCGTTGCGCAGCTTGCCTGCTGTTCATCGTGTCCGTGCAACGGTAATTGCTCAACGACGACGATGTCGACGACGGCGCACAGTGGAACCAGATGACATTCTTTGGTTGAAAATTCTCTAGAGACCTGAATTTCCGACCGATCATCGATACACCCAATGGATCAGGTTGATCCTGAATAAATTCCGAAGAGATCTGTCTTGCCAAAATTTAGAAAAAAATTTTTTTCTCGAATTACTAGCCCCAAACGAGGAAAAATTATCGTTAAACGCGAGAAACTTGTGAAATACTCATTATTCGACACTTATTTCTATCTAATAGCGTATTCAGCGAATTGAAACTATGAAACCAATCAATAGACACCTCGAGGTTTTCTCGATCTTGAACCAGAAACCCATTAGCCCAAAACTCATACGCTCAAAACACAAAAACATCAAATCTAGACACGTTAAGCACAAAACCGAGAGATTTTGAGTCTTAAGCCCATCAACCTAGGAATCTAGCAATCCTTGACAACTTTTCAGCTTGTGGATGCATGAAGCCGTATATATTAAGAGCTCCAAATAGTCCAAGAAACCAATCTAGCCATAGCTAGACCCAAGACACTGTACTTTCAACGATAAACTTTTAAGACAAACCGTAAACCCATGAACCCTGAACCGATAATTTTTTCAAAATTTCGGCTAGACAGCTCTCTTTGGAATTTATTCAGGATCAACCTCATCCGTTGGTGTCGATGATCGGTTGGAAATTCAGCATTCTCTAGAGAATGTTGAATCAAAAAATGTTACCTGGCCCCACTGTGCGGCGTCGTGGAAGGTTACGGAACAAGTTCGCTGATACTTGACTTCAACTTGGAACGTGGCGATCGATCTTCGCTCGAGACTCGCGGCGAACTCCGCTCCGCAAGCATGACGCGCGTATTGTGTCCTCTAAGCGTGAGCAAAATCCAGGGAAGACGCCGGAGCGAGGAATTCGAAGACGAGAATCGCGAGTTATGTATGTGCGTGTGTGTGTGTGTGTGTGTGTGTATGTGTGTGTGTGTGTGTGTGCCCAGAATACGAGCATGGCGGGCCCTTCGATTCGTCACAGGCGAGTTCTCCGTGAGCTCGCGCGCGGCTGACGCGACGGCTACGTGCAGAGAAAGAGAGAGAGAGAGAGAGAGAGAGAGAGAGAGAGGGAGAGAGAGAGAGAGAGAGTCGCCGGTGCACCCGCGCATTCAATAAGCAATGTCCATAAATAAGCCGCGGACCGGTTAGAGTATCTATCTATTGCTTGCAATTTACGTCTGACTGAAAAGCTCACGGACAGCTCCCTCCTCCCCACCCCCGGCTGCTGCGCCACCCTCGCCCGCCCTTTGCCTCCAGACGACGGCCGAGACGAAAATAATTTATCGCGCTGAGACGGGTTGACGGGGAGGAAGGGAGGATTCGGCGATGATCTTTTCGGTACCGTTCGTGGCGATAACAAATGACGATGATTAACTTCCGTCTATTTCCGTCTATTGTTATTATGAATTTTTGTCGTTGATCTCTCCGTCGAATTGTAGCCGCGATACTCCGATACTGGGACGTTGCCGATCCCGTCGGAATTGCGTCGGAATAGGATCTACGCCGGAAGTGAATCTGCGCGACTGCTGACTTCATCGAGCAAATAAGCAGTCGACAGTGTTTATCGGATCTCGCGGTCGCCATTAAGTAATGTTTATGAAGAATAGCTTCAAGTCGATTCGCGTTTCGGCCCTAACGCCGCCCGATGGACCTCCTATCCTTCGTTGCTCTCTCTAATTGTCGATTGCCGAGAATCAGCCGTCGGTCGAATGATCCCGTCATACGACGAGGCTATTGTTTGTTTTGTATCTCGATAGCGAGATGTAACTCGTGAGGTCATTGTTTATCCTAGAGAAGTTCGCGCGCGCTTTGATTTCAAACGTCGATAGCCGGCGCGTGTTACTCGCAGCCTCTCTCAGGGCTCGACGGGTGAGAACGCGTGTCACGAATTCGAAGCGTGAAGGAGTCTAAAGTCCGACAGGTACCGGGAAAGTGCGATAACGAAGGTAAAAGTCGACCGTGAAATTTCCGGCGAATCGACAGGCGACGCGAGAAATCAGACGTCTCGGACCGCAATCTACCAGACCGACATTAGACTCGCCTGTAGACCATCGCGAATCGGTTTGTTAATATTATTTATCGGGCGCCGATACGCCTGCTCTTTTTGCACGCGCCGACGTCCGTCTCCGAGTGAACGCGTTTCCAAGCGCGGCGCGTTCCGTCCGAGCCGCGAAGCGATCCCGGCGCGCACGTCATTTCTAACATGAGTCCGTCCATATCCAGAACGACAGCGTCGTGAATCAGGTCGAGCTGCCATGAATCAGACGGAGATGTCGCGGCGACGTCTTTTTCACTCGGTCGGCCGACTTCTCGTCTTTCTCGTAGAAGAGCACGCTTGTCACGGCGACTCTGCCTCTACACCTCGCTCCCGACTCCCGTCCCCGTCCGAGAGTCTGGGCTCTACGTCGATGAATCGGCCGCGCTCATCGCTCTCGAGACTACCGCTTCGCCACGAAAACGACAGACACGAGAGCGCGATCGCCCGCGTAGCGGACGTCGCGACGTTACGTCGTCGACGCGCGAAACATTAATGATTAATCTCGCGGCTCTCGGGCGTTTCTCTCGCGAGATGCGACACATGCGTGCCGAACGCGATGCGCGATATCAAATGCAAAATATTAAATCGCGGCCTGAAATCGTGCTATCTCCGGTATCGACGTCCCGCGGAAATACGTTTTGCTTCGATGCGCCGTTGCAGGCTCGTCGCTTCGCCGTTGCGTTAGTCTCGCCCGATCTTCCGAGCGGGCCGTTAGAAACGCACGGGTATTGTTTTACGAGGCGAAACATGAGCGTTCGCCTTCGCAGAAGGCGCGAAAAACACGCGAGGCTTGATTACCGATCGCGCTACAAACTCCTCCTAATAATTCTCCGAGCGCTGACGCGCGCCCCTGAAAAATTCCGGCAGATCTTCGCACGGGACCTGCGCGCGCGCTGCGTGTCGCCGCGAGGTGTAATTATCGCTCGCGCCGGCAATTAATCGTCACCATTAGCGCCAGATGCGGCCACCCACGGCGCTCGATAGCGCACGTCGACCGCTGCCACATCGCAGCTCTCGAGCTGCGTTCGCCGGTCTACCGGTCGTCGCGATCGTACTTGTCGACCGGCCGACCAATCAATCGACCGATCGATCGATCGATTCCGACGTATGTTGATCCCCGACGAATCCGATACGGATAACAGCCGGAACGACTCCGGCCGCGATCTCTCACAACTCTATGACCGATCCGTGTCTGCCCCTCGAATTCCGATGACGGCTGTTTGGACACCGTTTGCTTCAACGTAAGGACGAGAATGTTTTGGTGAAAGAATCTCTCCCTAAATGGAGACAATCTTGAGGAGAGCTTTTCCGCGAACGGATCTGATGCGCCTTTCAGGGTTTCACGTAGAGAATCTCTCGAGGAAAATTTCTTGCTTCCTCATTTCCTTTTCGTTCCTTTCCGGCAAGATTTTTATTCGCATTCACTCGGACAATGTGAATGCTCGTGGTGACGTCACGAGAGAACGCCTAAAGGCTATCCCGAGTTCTCGAGAATCTTCGAGAATGTCTCTTGAACTGTTGCTTCGAGTGATTGCTCGGAGGTTCCCACGGATTTTTGGCGAGTGCTTTTCCACGGCGGCTCGCTCCGGCTGTCAACTATTCCAGACGCGCGGCTGATGAGGACAGATACGTCCTCGCGATACACCATCGTGGCAAGGCCGGGGACCAACGATCGCGATCTTTTTTTTCCCCCACGGTCGTGGAACAACGGACGATAGTTGAGCGATCAGAGCTGACTCGGCAATTGCGAGCAACGCGCGAGTCGTCGCGTCGATTCAATTAATTTCACGGCAATAACAATCGCCGTGCGAAGCGTCGCGCGAGTCCGCGGGAAACCGGGCGAGCCAGGCTGATTTATCGCCGGCGGTTTATCGTTATGGGTGGATATTCGCCGTGGGATTATCTCGCGGGATAGTATACGATCGCGCGCGCGCACGCGTTATTTATCGTCGGCCTAACGAAGTCAGTCATTATCTAACACGCATCGCGAGCGAGCACGCGCTCGCTCGCTCGCTCGCGAGAGAGCGAGCGTTCGCCAATCGAAACGAGCGCAGTTAGAATTATGATTAATGAATTAATGACGACGCATACGCGGGACACGCGCGCGCGTGCGAGCGAGCGAGCAACGCAGCTACCGTGCGATCAGCGCGATTAAAGCCGGGCCGAGACAGGTGTTAATGCGTACGCACGCGCGCGTGTGCGCGCGAGGCGGGCTAATTAACGCGAGAAGGTCAGCTCGATTCAGCGGTGGGTAACAATTTAATTAGGGGAAACACCGCGCCTAGCAAGGAAGAAGAAGAAGAGGAACCGCGGGGCAGAGAGGTCCTCCTTTTCTTCTTCTTCCTCCTCCTCCTCCTCCTTCTCGTGATCGCGATATGCCCGCGCGACACATGAAACGTGAAAGCTCCTCGGAGAAACGTGTTACGTGCGAAACACGCGACGGGAAAAAGTGTGACTATGAGAGATGGAATGGGAAACGAGAGTGAGAGCGGAGGTGCAGTCTTTCGATCGTTTCGTTTTTCAGAAAAATACGGAAGTTACGAGTACGCGATGTAGAGCACGAGGCCCGACGGGAAAAACGTGCGGTGGAAATTCACGAGCCACCGTGAACGAAATCCCCTTCCGTCCTGTCCGACCGCGTTTGGTGTCTCGTTTATTTGGAGACTCGTCGAGGGAGGATAAATGTCTCGCGATAAATTTCCACTCTAGTCTCTGTCGCGAGCCCGTGGAGTGGCTCTCGCTTGACAGCTACGCCGAGAATCGTTGAGATCGCGGTTGTTGTCTGGGACCAAGCGTCTCTCTCTCTCTCTCTCTCTCTCTCTCTCTCTCTCTCTCTCTCTCTCTCTCTCTCTCTCTCTCTCTCTCTCTCTCTCTCTCGGGAAACCGAATAAAGAATTTTCACGGCTGCACTCCGTCTGACAATTCGTGAATCCACGACAGATGAAGAACGTGAAAGCACCGTCGACTTTCACGCCGACTCGCGTGAACTTCTGGCCGGTCAGAGGTAAGTCCCATGCGCAGCAGCGCTGATGGTGGGTCCTGCGGCGTGATTTTTACCTCCGATGATTCAGCGATCGCAATCGCGATCTTAATGAACGCTCGACTCCTTGAGCGCCGTGATGTCACCGGAAAATACTGTTCGGGATCGTTAATAAGCGAAGAAACGGACTGTGCGCGGAAATCTTCTCTCATCATCCGTCAAGTGTATCGAGACTGTCAAAGGGTATTCCGGATACACATGACGCATACACTTTCGACGAAAGCGAAATAATCATTTGTAGTTACGAAGAAACGAACGACGTGACGATACCTGAATGAGAAGCGGAATACAAAAACAAAAGGAATTCCCTCCGTCCCGAAAGAGGGAAAAAACGAAACTACTTGTTGCGTAGAGACCAAGAGAAAAAGAGAAAGAAAGAAAGAGAGAGAGAGAGAGAGAGAGAGAGAAAGAGAGAGCAAGTTGCATAATTTCGGTCACTCTCTTGGCAGCTCAGAAGCTATTTCAACGTGCGACGAACAAGACATGGCCGGCTCTATTAATCATTGATATTTCGCGGCGAACTAATCGACACAGGATCACGAAAATAAATAAAATATCCGAAACGCAAGAAACACGTTTCTTCAGGGATGCCCCCGCTCCCCACCGGTCCCTCGAATTATACAGCTCTAGTCGATGACTTTGTCAACAAGTCTATTAAGTCGTTCGGTGCAAGCATAATTTATTTCGAGAACCTCCGCGCGGTAATGTCCGCGCGATAAAAAAGTTTTACGGCGCGGCGTGTTTACAAGCGCGCGCGCGTTCGCGATGGGACAGGACCGGTGGTGGCGGCGGCTCGGGAGTTCGACTTCTCCCCGTCGAGAAGTATATTCATCGAGAGCGAGACTCCGGACATCGTCGCCACGGTACTCACCACCACATGGATCCCCTGCCGCGATTCTTGTTCCTGGTGATCTCCGCCCGCGACACGTGCACCGTCACCGAGAGCGCGGCCAACAACACCAAGAGCCTCATCTTCTACGGCGTGTGTCTCGCGTGTCTCGAACCCGGTAGTGTCCTCCACCACCTCCTCCACTTCCTCCTCCTCTTCTTTCTCCTCCTCTTCCTCCTCCTTCTCCTCCTCCTCCTCCTCTTCCTCTTCTCCTTCTCCGCGTTCTCGTAAATCCTTTCTCTCTCGTCCTTTATCCTCGCGATCGGGAGCACCGTGCGCACCAACTATCACTGAACAAACATCTCGCGCGGAACCCCGCGTCTTTCTCTCTCTCTCTCTCTCTCTCTCTCTCTCTCTCTCTCTCTCTCTGTTCCTCTTTCTTTTCCTGCGCCTTTCTCTCTTCCTCCCGACGCCGTCGATGCGAACTCGATCCTTCGAATCGCACTCACGGGGTCGTGCGCATGACCCCGACGCTAATCGGCCGATAAGATCGTCCTGGGATTAAGCGCGATCCTTCCGGGGTGCCTCGATAACGGTCACTGATCACCGCGGCGTCACCCCGAAGTCGGAGCGTTCGGCGAAGCGTGTCGAAAGACGACCGACAGACGTTATCGTACGTAGACAGACGTATCGTCCTTCTGCGGGCACTTCCGCGCGCACTGTCCTGCAGAGCCGGCTGTCGTGAGCTGACTATCTCGTAAGAACGAGTCGGCGAGTGGATGTTACAGCGCGACGTGTCAACGTGTCGTCACGACTGACCTCACGACAAACACCACGACGTTTGGGCTACCGTTGCTCACTATGGCCGAGCGACTGATTCGTCTCGACTACGAGCCCAACCCCCCGATAGGCTACCCTCGAAGGGTGGGTGTTACCCCTGAAGAACGTACGTGCGAGTGAACGAACGATCAACGATGGAAAAAAGACACAATCGTTCACTCACGGAAGCTGCGCCTCGGGAGCGTTTTATACCTGCCAGCCACTTCTTCCTGGTGGTGGAGGCTGCTGTGTGGTTCCAGCTGTGTGGCCGAGCAGCTAAGAACCGGGTGAGTCAAGCCCCAAGTAGACTCGACAACGCCACCGTCTCTCTCGTCTATAATCTGTCAGGGGTGGCTCGTACGCTCACGCGCGCCACGCTCCGCACCTTCCGTTTCGTTCGTCCGTCGACCGTCCTTTCCAACTCTCTGCTTCCTCGACAGGGAGGTCCTCGATGGTGGACGTTTGCTGCGGCGGCGGCGGCGGCGGCGGTGGCGGCGGCGGCGGCGGCGGCGGCGGCGGCGGCGGCGGTGGCGGCGGCGGCGGCGACGACGGTGGCGCGCGCGCGTGCATGCGTGCCTGCCGCGGGCGTGCGTGCACGCGTGCTCGTGTCGGGGTACGACGACGACGTAAGGCAACGAAGGGGAGAGAAATTCTATCCACTCTTTTCTGTTTCTCGCCCTCTCTTTTCTCTCCCTCTCTCTCTCTCTCCTTTTTGCTTTCACGTTCTCTCCCTCTTCCTTTCCCTCTCTCCCTTTCTACCTGTCTCTCTCTCTCTCTCTCTCTCTCTCTCTCTCTCTCTCTCTCTCTCTCGTTCTTTCTCTCCCTCTCTCTTCACCGTTCGTATGTTCGTTTCGCGCTGCCCTCACACTGCTTGGGGGGTATGGTGCAACGAGCTGGAGAACCACCAATACCCTTCGACGGGCAAGTATAGACCTCGGCTAGCGACTGCACGCGCTCCTCCGCGGAAGAGCCGATCTCTCTTCAGAGAGAGAACGGAACGTTCTCCCCTCCCCCCCTTGTCGCGGTGGGGACCAGTGGACCCCCCCAAGACCGATTAAATCTCGCCCCGCCTCTCACGGCTTGGCCCCAGCCTCTCTGCCCCTGCTCTTCCTCCACCAGCATGCAGTACCATCTCTTCGGCTCGCTTCCCTCCCAGTGTTTCCTCGTCATCCGTTCCTTCGTTCTCTTCCTCGCCCCATCGTCATCATCGTGCTCTTCCTACGCAGTCGTCAATGATTCTCTCCCGTTTCGACTCTCTTTCTCCTGCTTCTTCTTTTTCTTCTTCTTCTTCTTCTTCTTCTTCTTCTTCTTCTTCATCCTCTTCTTCTTCTTCTTCATCCTCTTCATCTGTTTTGCTTATTCTATTATCTTTTTTCATATAATTTACAAATAAAAGCATCTCGAAGCGTCTCTCTCTCTTATCGAATAGGAGTTCACGAGATGTATGAAAGGGGGAAAAAGAGAAATTGACGACGACGAAAAAAAAAGTTTATATGTTCTGGCACCTAAGGCAACGTGAATTCGTCAGTGTAAAATATGTTTGACGATATCAACAAAGCGGTGAGAGAGAAAAGCCGTTTCTTACAATATGTCATACGAGATTTCTATTGTAAATCTCAATTTCTCGTTTGTGTTTCAAAGCTGTCCAACTGATCTAATTTCATGCGATTGGCAAGACATCTGCCTCTACCGACGACTCGTCCCGGCGAGATAGTCGTTGCAGTCGCAGCAGCTGTTAGCGGAGCAAGATTCGTGCCTATTTCGTCATCATTCTCGTCCGCACATCCTTGTCCCCTCGCGAAACAAACCCAGCGGTTTCTGACAGAGCTCTTCTATCGTATCAAACGAGCACGTGGCTCTCAAGGGGAAACGGTGGGCAGATCCTATCAAGGCTACGCCCGACAGGCCCCCACCAGGGTCCTCGGCGTCTCACGCACAAGGAACTTCTGTCGTGGTCTCCCACTCTTCATGCGCTCCTCCGTTCTTCTCTGTTTTATCTCCCTTCCACCCTCTTTGTCCACCGCGCGCTCACTCGGTCCCTCTTCCCTTTTCCCTCCTTTTTTTTTTTTCATTCAGCTCTTCCCTCACCTCCGGAGTTGGTTGCCTCCTTTTCTCGCGTACCTGCGCGCCTCGTCGCTCGCCCTCTCTTACGCCGGGAATGCGTGCGTGAACCGAAAGGTGGAGGTGCACACGCGTGCGTGTGGGAACGCATCGCGGAATGCGGGACAGCGTAGCTATGGAACCACCAGCGGTGCTTTTTCCCTCCGCCTCGAGTCCTGCAGGACTCTCTGCCAGACCAACCAATCCCGCACTCCCCGGGACTTTCTGCCCTTATTTATTGAGGTTTCCCGATGCGTCAAGAGTGCTTCTTTCGTAGAAAAGTACGCGTACTTTGGAATCGAACTCTTCATTACGAGACCCCGCAAAATCGGACTTCAAATTCAAGCGGTTTTTTCAAGCAAGCGAACAAAGCAACAGGACACCAAGAAGATGAAGCATTTCTCGAAAATCAAATGTATGAACGAAACGAGCGATGACACACACACGCGCGTGCGCGAGTTACACGATCAACCGAGCCTCTTTAGCGACAGTTATAATTATCAGTATTGATCGAGGCTATGGCGCGATACAAGCGTGAAATTCTTCATGGAAAATAATTACATCGATCACATCCCCCCTCTCCATCGCTGCTAACATCACCTCAAAGCCTCCGCGCAAATGTTGACCGAGTAGAAGAAATGTTAAACGTTTGCACATCGATCCGCGTCAACAAATTTATTTAGCCGCGCGCGATAACTCGAGAGGGAAAGAAGGCGAGCGCTGTGTCGCGGACGTGTCGCTTTCGCACATACTAACGATAAGAATAAAAGCGATGGGACGCACAAGAGGAGAACAGGAGAAGCTGGAGAAAGAGGAGAAGAAGGAGAGGGAGGAGGAGGAGGAGGAGGAGGAGGAGGAGGAGGAGGAGAAGGAGGAGGAGGAGGAGGAGGAAGGGAACCTGAGCATGGCGAGCACGCATTCCCACTCGCAATAATGAATTTACGCGACGGAGACGCGCCGTAAATCACCGGTAGCAGGCACGATTGCCCCTTTTACCGAATAACGTGTAATTTGGCGGTCGCTTATGAGGCGGATTCCGCGACGGAGCGGCTGCTAGCGGGAGTCGGTAAATAAACTGGAGGCCAATGGCGAGATTGATCGAGCCGAAATGACGCGCGCGCGCGCCTTACAACTAATTTCGCGCAATGACTTCAATTACGTTTTTACCAGCGCGCGGAGCCCATATATTTGCCGTGTCGTTGCCGTGTCGGAAGGAGGAGAGAGAGAGAGAGAGAGAGAGAGAGAGAGAGAGAGAGAGAGAGAGAGAGAGAGAGAGAGAGAGAGAGAGAGAGAGAGAGAGAGAGAGAGAGAGAGAGAGAGAGAGAGAGGCGGGAGGGAGGGAGGGAGGGAGAGAGAAAACCGAGAGTACCACAGGTAGTTCATCATCGTCGAATCGACTACCGTCCGTGACGATTACCTCCCTCCCTCCCTCCCTCCCCTCCCGCCGCCAACGCATGTACTACTTTTCGCAACGACGGTTCCGGTCTTTCCGTAAGAAGCGCCGAGAAATCTTGGAAGCACGAGAGACATCAATGACGTAGATCAACGTTTCCCAATTCGACCTGACGTCGCTCGAATGCGCGAAGGAGCAAAAAAGAAGCGCGAGAGAGCCTGGATTTGCGTGTCACCGCGCGACGTTGAAAAAGTAGATCGGAAAGAGGTGAGAATGACGAAAAAAGGAGGGAGGGGAGAGACAAGTGACGCAACGAGATCGTTTCTTATGCAACCCGACTGTCACTTCGCGAAACTCGACGATTCGGCGGTGTACCCGACAGAGAGGTACTTTCGGAGGGAGGAAGCGGAGAGAGGGTTAGGACTTTTTAGGGACTCGGATTACGTGATAATCGCCTTCGTGATATATGCCGATGATTTATGTCGAAGTCGCGTCAAACGAGAGAGCGACGGCGAAACTCGACGCGGTGCACGCTCTGAAAAATGAAAAGAAAAAAAGAGAGAAAAGGGCGGGAGAGAGAGAGAGAGAGAGAGAGAGAGAGACCCTCGATCTTTATTATGCAATAAGATATTGTGTAACTCACGAGCCTCCCCCCGTGTACGCGTAGAAAAACTTTGCGCGTATGTGCGCGCGACGAAATGGCGCGGAGAAGTATTTCGAGCGAGGGGAAATTTCCATGTTCGTCCGAGAGACGAGCATCGCGGCGATCTAAAGACAGCCGATGCTGTCAAGTCCGCGTTAATCTCCTCTCCACGTTTCCGCCGTAACGAGGAAAGCAGCGTCATTATTTACCGAGGGCGGAGGGCGAGGCGGTTTATCGTTAGCCGGCGAAATCCGAGGCAATTACACGCGAAATGTTCAGCCGCATCGTCGGGAAAGACGCGATTGCACGTTTCGCCCGGAGCGTCTCGTAGCGCGCGCGCATATTACCCGCTTCTCGTTCTCCACGCTATTGTCATTGAGCGACTGTCAAGACGCGAGGTTTCCTCCGTTTCCCCGCGACTCTCGCCGCATAATTCGCACTTATCGCTCGCACTCGCTCGTCGATTATCCCCGATAAATCCCGCTCGCTAACGAGCGGCCATTCCGTCTTCCATTTTTCCGTCCTCGGTGTCAAGGGTGAAGCGTGAAGCGCGCGCGCTCCGTGCGTCTGTTGTGAAATCCGTCACCGTGGGAAGAAGTGTGGAAAAAGAAAGGAAAAGGTAAAAAGCGCCCAGGGAGTCCGGCCCGCAAGCGTAATCGCCGTGAACACAACTCGCAACATGATCATGTTGTTGCCGTATGTCTGCCTGACGTCGTGCTTCGTTCTTCACGCCTCCGCGCGCGGCACGGCGCGGCGCGGCGCGGCGCGGCGCGGCGCGGGCGCGAGCGTAAGCAGAAATAATCGTTCTCGCCTGTAAGTCACGGACGAATGAGTCGTTACTATGTATGATCGCCGAGAGCGAGGACGCGGACTCGCATGATGGACAGCCTGTCTGTACCGTACTTAAGCCGACGCTTATGATAATTACTTAATGCCGCTCTCTATGTTGCACGCACGCATAAATCCGCGCGCGGCTTCTACGAATCCACGACGCACCGCTTTTACCCGGCTAGTCGACGAATCGTCCGGACAAGCGCGCTGCTTGTCAGACATTAGTGTGCCGCGCTTACTTCGCCGAAGGTGTATCTCTTCTCTACTCGCCCGCGACGTCGACGGCGACGACGATTCCGAATGAAATCGTCCACCGAGCGCGCGCGACGAAATAGCACGTGCGAACAGAGAGAAATCGATTCGATGTGTTTATGATTCTGTGATTAAACTGACAATTGAATTCTTCGGCATCAAATTGCTGGAATTTTAGAGCAGACTTGGAGCCGTTATCTCTCTCCGATAAATTCAGTCTGGCGTCTAAATAACAAATAACTCGCCTT